TACTACTAACTAACTAACTAACTAACTAACTAACTAACTAACTACTACTACTACTACTACTCTCTCTCTCTCTCTCTCTCTCTCTCTCTCTCTCTCTCTCTCTCTCTCTCTCTCTCTCTCTCTCTCTCTCTGGGGTCCATGTGCTCTCTCTACATATGACAAGAAGAAGAAGAAGAAGATGGACTCCAAGTGTTCGATGCGGCCTCTCTCTCCCTCACACACACACACAAAGATATAAAGGACCCATATGCTCCCTCTTTATGGGCGTGTTTGATAACAAGAAGTTAGGGGGAGGAAGAAGGAAGTTCCCCATTACTGTACAACTCCCGTGTTCGATGCACAAAACTTATACAATAAAGAAGCTCCCCTAGAATTTCCTTACTCCCTTGTCCTTAAGAAAAAAGGTCTCATATAAATCGATGGAACTTAAAATAGGAACTTGGCCCTCGAAGAGGGCTTCTTCTTCAAACCCTATTCTCAAAAGCCCACATAGCCTCGCTACTTATACTTATATTTATATTTATATGGTTAATTTATATTCGTATTATATTATATTATATTATATATTTATATATTTATATATTTATATTGTATTATATATAATGTATACATCAAAGATCAGCATTGAGCCCATACCTCTTTGTCTTAGTTATGGACAACTTAACTAGGCACCTACATGATGAAGTACCAAGTTGCATGTTGTTCGCAAATGACATACTTTTGATCGATAAAACCCAAAACGGCATCAAAACGAAGTTAGAACTTTGGCGGGATGCTCTATAATCCAAAGGTTTTAAAAGCAGTCGGACTAAGACAGAGTATATGGAATGCAAGTTTAGCGATTATAGGAGTAGAGACGATGAAGTAGTTAAAATTGACGGCCAGGAAGTACAAAAAAGGCTGCACTTTCGATATCTTGGTTTGATAATCCAAGAAAATGGAGAGATTGATGAATTTAACTGTGGCACAAATAGGCGATAAGATGAGAGAGAGTAGATTTAAGTGGGCTGACCATGTGTGGCGCCGACCAAGTACAACACCTATTAGGAGGTGCGAGTTAGTTCAAATGGAAGAACTTAAAAGGGCAAGGGATAGGCTCAAAAGGACGTGGTTGGTAGTAGTCCAAAAAGATATGGGAACTTATGGCCTCACTGAGGGTGTAGCCTTTAATAGAGCAAAATGGTCGACCACGATTCATGTAGTCGACCCCAATTATTTGGAAAAAGGCTATGATGATGATGATGATATATAATGTATATTATATATTATATTATGTTATTCATATATGTAATATATCTATTTATGTAGTATAATATATTTATATAATCTATATTTTATTGTATAATATATAATATATTCTATTATATAATACATTTTATTTATGAAATATATAAATAACACTATAGTATAAATATATATTAATAAAATAATTATTATATTGTATTATATATATTATATTTATATTTAAATTAGTAATATATATTTGCATTATATAATATATATATATGCAATATAATTATATAATATATTTTATTATATAATATATTTTATTTATGTAATATATATTTATAATACTATAGTATAAATATATATTAATAAAATAAGTATAAAATATATATTATATTATGTTATATATATTATATTTATATTTAAATTATTAATATGTATATTTGCATTTTATAAAATATATAACTATATATTTTTGAAAATTAATATTAAATAGTATTTATATAAATTACAACTATATATTTTTGGTTATAAAATTTAAATATTGCATCTATAGATTTAATCAAACACAATACCTAAAGTCTCCTAGTACTCCAATAGGTTGTCAAAGTAAGGTACCTAGAACTTCTTTAACATTCCAAAAGGTTATCAAACATAGAGACCCAGACCTTCCTTCCAGATCTTCTTTCTTCTCAGCAAAGAAGAACTTCCAATTTCCAAGGAGTGTTTACCTTCCAATTTTAGAACAGGCCCTACATGTAAGAAGAGGATGACCTCCAAATGTTCGATGCGAGATACCTCTCTCTCATAGACTTTCTCTCTCGCGACATATCCTCCAAGCATTCAAGACCTTTCTCTCACAAATATAGATCCAAAAGAAAAAAAGAGGATGATGTTTAAGAATTTCATGCAAGACCTCACATGCGCATACACACACTCTAAACACATGTACACACACAAACACATACTAAACACACACACACATTCACAAAACATAAACACAAAAAACAACACATGGCCTTCACCCCAACCCCTTCCCTTTGGGCCGCCTTTGTGTCTGGACGCACACCTTGGCGACTAGGCGGCCCAGAGCCTTGGCTGCCTAGGCGGCCGCCTCCACCTTTTTGAACATTGGATGTTACTAATATTTTATAAAAATTAGCACTATTCTGAGCTTCAACGAGCACTATTGTTCTTTGTATGGTCAACAACCAGAACCCCATCTGATGAAGCTCTGGTTAAGCACTCAAGTGTAACACATTGCACAGAACTTGTAAGATGTCATCATGACCTTCAATTCTAACTAAAAGAAAATATGAATTTGAGATGGGTATGGACATTGGAAGAAAAAAACAAAATTGATAATATGAAAGCTGCATCAGTATTGACACAAATATCACATATAGGCTGAAAATACCTTCATTATTTTGCCTATAGATTTATCCAAGAAGTCCGGGAGGGAGAGAAGCCTGAGGGTGTGACCCTAACAGAAAGTTCACAATGTCAATAAAATAAGAAATGTCAGAAACTTTCAAAGGAAAAAATGATATATGACCTTCACTTACTGTTGGTGCAGTATCAAATATGATACGTTTGAACATACTATATTCTGGTGCTTCCACGAACTGCATAACCTGCCAACCAATTTCCAGATGTTTAAGCACAGTATGATTGATCTCTTATATTGAATATAGCATGAAATTAGAAGAATTTAGGCAAACCTTTGAGATTGCAATGGCCTCATCAAGTCCAGGAGGAGGGGTATCTAGCAATTCTCCTAGCTTTAAGTCCCCTAGCTTGAGGCATAGCAGAGATATCACTGTCTTAGCACAAAATGGAGAAAATGCAATGCTGATTCACACACACAAAAATGCATTGGACATTGGTAATTATCACGTGTCAAATAAGGTAGCATGAGTACAATGATTTTGAAGTTCCCATACCCATACATGAGAATCAGATTCCTAAAACTTATAAATTAGTCAAGTAGTCCAAAGTCTTTAAATTTCTGATCAAAAAATTATGAAAACCAGAAGGAAGCTAGGTTGTGTATATATGGATTCATTGTTTTTTGTATATATGAATCATTGTTTACTTGTTTCCCAACCAAAATCATATTTGGCCATACTCTTGCAATGGGCTTTTGCAAAAATGAACATACTCTTGCAATGGGGTTTTGCAAAAATGGCCACATTTCCTTCTCAGATCCAACATTTCACTTCTCAGACAAGGGCTCATCGTTCCAAAGATGACCAGAAATCCACAAGGCCTCTCAGGAATATCACAAATGCATCATCAGCAGGAAAATTATGTTGATTTTCTACCTTTAGGGCCTCCACTCTACAAGTAGGAAACTTGACAAAAATACATGTGAACTTAGACTATCTACTTCCCATATCTCCACTTGTACAATAGAAATGGAAACTAAAGAAATTGGTCACATTCCTCTTACCACACTACTGTAACTTTGAGTTATCAACTGTACAATTCATGGAGCAGCTTAAGAGTAAAAGATCAAAGTATTAGAGTAAAAGATCAAAGTATTCTTTAAACTGGGGCATGATATATATTGTACCTGATCCGCAAGTGCTCCCAGGCCCATACCATCGATAAAATCTTTGACTCCACTCCCCCCGTTTTTCTGACTTGCACTGCGAAATTCTTCACGAGCTTTCTCGGGATTTATCTGTCAAGAAGCAAACTTTTACTTTCAGCAACAGAAATTTTTTGCAAAAAAGGCCACTATAAAGAATTTTAATAGATGTCTATTCTTGCATACCTCAAGAGCAAACAGTGGAGAATCCAGTCCCTCAACAGGAACAAGTGTCCCTCCAGTTAAATCCTAAAACAACAAAAGACTTCTTGAATCATTATCCAATCCAAGTTGAGTCCTTAAATTCTAGACACATAAGGAAAAAGAAAATTGTGGAGAAGAAGAAATTATAATGTGTACCTGGGCAAAAGAATCGCTTAGCGAATGTGCAGGGTCAGTTGATACCACAATGGTAGGAAACCCGTGATTTGCAAATTTAACAGCGAGAGATGCAGCACAACTAGTTTTACCGACACCTCCTTTCCCTCCAAGCATGTAGTATTTGCGCTCAGTCCCCGCTGCCATCTCATCAAATCCTGCCACAGCTTCTGCAGGAGTAGCTATTGATCGGACTGCAATAAGAGAATTGCAGTGTGGGATATATTGTTCCAAGCCAGTGTAACCACTTAACAAGACAAAATAGTGAGATAGACCTTTAGCCAAGAATGAAGATATATGATAGAGATAAGAAAGAATTTCTCTTTGAATTAGCTTAAATGCTTGTTTGTATATGTTCAGAAAATTTTCTTACATCGTAAAGATAAAGAATGACTTTAAAGGTTATTGAGAAGAACATTTTCCATGGATAAAAAAAGAGTAGATCTCCAAGATCCAACTTATGCTAGACACCATCAAGAAGCAGTATGGTACAATCCATTGGGTAATGGAAAACATTATACATTTGGGTCACTACTGTCAAAAGAAATGATGCATGGTGATGGAGAGACAGCTAGACATACCAGAACAGGAGATAATCCCAATGTTGGATCCACAGCCTCCACCACCATCTATTATTTCAACTGAAGATGATGATTTCAAGTGACAGTGCTTTTCCACAGTCCAGAGGATTATAATCAAGTACCCATTTCATTACCTCCCATATTATTTGCCAAGTTTTTTTTTTTTTGAAGAGAAGGTCAACTGCATTAAAATAATAAAGTTACATTTTTTCTAATCCTAAAGAAGGCAAGCCCACAGATTGGGTGCTCAGACAACAAGAGTTAAAGATAGGGAGAGAGAAGAAGAGATGAAGAAAAAATAGAAAAACCTAAAGAAGAAAAATGGGCAGAGCCTACATATGTATAAAAGATGTTAGAGATAGGGAGAGAGAACAAGTGAAGAAGAAAAAAGAGAAAAACCAAAAGAAGAAAACATGGGCAAAGCTCTAGATATGTATAAAAGATGCGCCCTCGTATCGTGAAACAGAGGGCCTTGAGGTTAGAGACAAGGGCCGCCAGTAGTGGTAGCTGACCGTGATGAAAAGAAGACCTCTCCGAGCTGACAGTAGTGAGGTTTGGACCTCAGCAACCTGATCAAAGAAATTGTGAGAGCATCTGGCCACTGCAAGTTGGTAGAGAAACTGGTGGCTCTGTTTTCTGGTGAGAGAGCTGATGAGAGCACTAGGCAGTATAGTGCAGCGTACCCCACAGTAGTAAACATTGAGAACCATAATGCAAAAGAGAGGTTAATGTGGAGGAATCGAGGATAGGTATGAAAATGAGATTCCCAAGGAGGTTGCATGAGGAGGTGCCGTTGTAGTCGATGACGATGTCCAAGGGACACCAACCGCCCAAAGCGTAATGCCCCTCCCTAGATTGTCTATTCCCATATTTTGAACTTGTGTGTGGATGGGTGGAGGATGAAAAGAGGGAGTATGTGATCCTCCCTAGATTATTTATTCCCCTATCTTGGAGTTGTGTGTGGATGGGTGGAGAATGAAAAGAGAAAGGATGAGAGAGGGAGTATGTGATGTGCTTCTGCAGTGGATTTAGTGGCTGAAGGGGTTGGAGCCGGCTTGGTAATTGAGGTGGAGCTACAGTGAATTTAGTGGAAAAAAGGTTGGAGCTGGCATGGTCAAAGGGGAATTGGAGATAGAGAGATAGATAGAAGAGGGAAATGGGTGCGCGAGAGCACTGCAACTGTGATAGAGTTTTGATAGGAGGTTTAATGGGAGTAGAAATGGAAGAAGGGATTGAGGGGTATACCCAGCCCAATAAGTGGGACACACCCTAGCTTAGACATGAACTCATCGTGAGTATACCCAGCCCAATAAGTGGGACACACTTTCTGCTTTTCATGTTCATATAACCTTGCACTGTAAAAGTCATAAAACAATAGAAAGTACGTCATCCCCGCATTAAAACTAGGAGCAGAGGTCCCTATTTCTAAGTACGAATATTGGAAGTTTAATGCAGAACAATGTTCAAGAGGATGGGAGTGGCTGCCCAGTGACCTAAGCAGCCACTGCATTTTCATTTTGTTTTCTTTTTTTTTTGGGGGGGGGGGGGCTTTCAAATTTCCAGCCTATTTACCTATAAACTAAAATTTGTGTTTAAAAAACTAAAACTTCGAAATTGCCCAAAATTTTACATCCATTAGGCATGTAAGTCAAAAATAAAAAGTTGCATAACATAAATTTACATCCATAAGTACTTCAAACATTTCTTCAAAGTTCAGAAGTTAAAGTTCAATACATTTCAAAGTTCCAAAATCCAAACTTCCAAACATTCAAAACAATACATAAATTTTCATCCATTAGCATCATAAATTAGAAACAAAGCCAAACATAGCCAAGAATACGAAACTCTAAAAATAATGTAAAGCCAAACTTCAAAAATAAACACAAGAAAATGATAAAAAACGTAACACAATACTCACAAAAAAATATGAAACCCTGAAAACAAACAATTAAATTTAATAAACTTTTCGAAAACCAATTGAAGTAGGCTTGAAAAAACTCTCTTTTGTAACCTCTTTAGTCCCCCAAAAACCTCTTTAGTCCCCAAAAAACAGCTTTAGTTCCCAAAAAAGTTCTATGTCAAGTGCCTTTCAAGTTAACAAGAAATTGAAGACTTCAAATTCGAATCAATCATTAAAAAACAAAACTTGATTTTGAGCTAAAGATTTTGCTTTTAAGGTACAAGTAGAGTTTTCTAAGGTTTTAGGGTGCCAAAGTGCGTCTCAAATACTATTTCCTGCCTTTTTGAGGAAAAGGGGGGAGGTGGAATTGCCCTCGCCAAAAGGGTCCTGGATGACTAGTCGGCCTCCCAGAGTCAATGTCCCGCACTAGGCCGCATAGGCGCTGTGTGGTGCGGTGAGGCCCAACCAGGTGGCTGGGTGGCCGACTTTTTAAACATAGATGCAGACAGCTTTCGAAAGCATAACTTTCTACATGGATGTCCATTTGGGATGATCTAGAGTAAAATCAAATATCTCTTTGAGTTCCATGACTCTTATCTCTATATATTTTCATAATTCAGATGTTTCTTGAATCGTAGTTGAAATCCTGCTGGAAAAATTTGTAATGAAATTTATTTTCATTACTTGTTATGTTTCTTACTTTCAGTAGAAGTTCTACAAATTGTAGGGCAGAGAACCTAGGCAATCTTCTAGAAGATATTGGGGTCCATAGATTAGAAAGTTAAAGAGTCTCTAAAATTAAGTTTTTTTTTTTTTTATTGTTTTGCAAGTTAGTTTCCTTAACCTGATCAAGAGTTTAGAATGATTCTTTTCATGTATTGTAAGGGTCTAATTTCTTAAAACTTTTAAGGAACTAATTACCTAGTTTTGAAAGAATACATAAAATTAGGAAGTTCTAGAAAATGGAGATAGCTTGAGTCCTAAGTCAAATACCGAGGGAATCAAACCTCCATAAATACTAATACATGGCCATAGCCATGTCAATTCAATTTGAGTAACAAAATGTGGATTTCGATTGTGGTGATTTGGTGAAATGCCACCTTTACAAAAAATTCCTCTAACTCTTTTTGTAGAGTGATTGAATCTACAACTCTAGCTTAGAAATGGGAGAGCCTCTTCCTAAATGTTAGGGCGCCTCTTCTTTTGGTAGGGAGACTTCCCAAAACCTTAGCTTGTAGAGTAGAGGTTCTCCCCATGTAAGCTTTGGCCCCTTCTTTCCCCTCTTGTATGGTACATCCCATCTAAGATTCCCAACAAACGTATAGAAGGAGTTCTGTCACCATAGCACTAATGTTGGAATGTGTGAGTTTCACCAGAGTTAGCCACAGCTATCCGACTGAACCTTTCGATGATATCCATCATAGCGGAGGACTCAAAGGCTCGCTTATAGATTCTCTAACTGCCCATCTATATAGCATAGCCTGTCCCTTCTTTAGGATAAGAGTGAGAGTTCCTGACTCATTTGGTTGGCGGGTGCCATCCACCTTAGGTAGATTAGAATAGCTACCCTGACGATATACCTACCCTCTGTAACCTCAAACCTAAGTTCAAACCCTACATTTGTCCTAATTCAGTCCTATAATTTATCTCATCATCTTCCTACCTTACTGGAACTGCTGAATGCCAACAACTTTAACACCTGTCAAAATCCTAAAACTTTACCTTAACCCCATCAAAATCTCCCCCACATGCCAAACCTAAAGTCCTAGACCTTTACATCTCTTATAATCCACTCCTAAAACTTTACCTTAACCCCATCAAAATCTCCCCCACATGCCAAACCTAAAGTCCTAGACCTTTACATCTCTTATAATCCACTCCTATTCAATATAAGACATATACAAAATAATGTGGTACTAGAAAAACCTAAACCCTTTATAACTCATAAATAGCAACCCAGTTAAACTCCTAACATTCCTTTAAACCCTGTCTTTCTAAGCTCAACTCGCATATTACACTCATGTACAAACCAAGTACCACTGATCCTACAACTACATCAATTTTGGTATCAGAGCCAGTGTTCGAAAATTCAGCCGCCCGACTGCCTAGGCAGCCGCCTAGGCACTATCTGGGCGGTGGAATTATGCAGCTTGTCTCTGGGGGCCTGCCTAGGCGAGCAAGGTGCCGCTTAGGCACTACAGTCTGGGCGCCTAGGTGCCACCCAATGACAGTTTGTGAAAGGGTAAAAAAAACCCTCGGTGAGGGTTAAAACAAATGTCATTTTTCCCCCCAAAAAAAGGGGGGGGAGGTATTCTAAACTCCCAAAACAAAAACCGTGGCTTTTAGGATGAGAAAATACCCCCCAAAAACTTTTTTTTTGTAATTTATCAAAAGATCAATAAAGTTTTGATTTTTGCGATTTCTTCCCAAAACTAAGGCAATGGTTCGTGGGTGGATTTATAGCTTCTAGAAGTTGATTTTGAGGAGTTTTGGTGACCCAATAGACGAAGCTTGCACCAACATCGATTTGATTTTGATATTTTTAAAGTATTGTCATATTTGAAAGAGGGTTTTGATTAAATTTTACTACAACATATTATGTTGTGAATTATGCGTTTTTTCATTTACTTTTTTTTTTCTTTTATGATATACTTACATGTTTAGTTGATGACTTGATGTATTTGTTTTTTTCTTTTGCCTTGTTGACTTTGTGTATCGTTTCTAGTCTAGACTTCTAGTTTCCTACCATGATATTTAGGATTTCAAGCATTTTAATGTCTTACAAGTTACAATCTCTTTGAGACTTGTATCTGTAAATCTGTTATCTGATTGTTCTATTACACTTTCGTCTATTTCACGAGGAGTTTGGGGCTCTAAAATTGCCTTAAAAACTCTCAAAGAGTTAAAACCATGTCCTAAGAACTCCCCTAGTTTTTTGTTTGGGACAGGGGGGTTCAATTTTCGTGAGGGCACCCCATCTCTGGGCGAGCGCCTGGGCGACCAGGCACTCAAAACGCCTAGGCACCGGAATCCGCATTTTTTAACATTGATCAGAACAAACCTGGACCAGCCCCTTCACCATATAAAGAACTCTTCCTTCCCATTCTTACTTACATTGAAGTAAAAGTTCCCACCATTCTTAAGGACATAAAACTGAAGGAAGAGGCATTGTAAGGGACAATGCTAAAAAGGGCAGCAAACCAATCGAGTGCTTCATGTATGGAGGACCATGTGTATGTGTGTGTGTGTGTGTGCGTGCGCGTGTGTGACTGGTGGCAAAACGGTGGCATATGCACACCTGCCTTACAAAAAGGAAATGAATTATCCTCGAGGCTTTATTTGCTAAATCTAAACAAACTAAAATGACCTAAAAGAAAATTCTTTGCTTTGTCGTGGACACATCCTTTGATAACCAGACACTGCAAGCTATTTAAAATCAAAATAAAAAAAAACAATCGCATATAATGAAAATATCACTGCCAGCTACTAATCCCAATAACAACTCAAACATTTCAACTCCACAACTCTGATTTCTGAAAAATCAATACTCAGGAGAATACATCAAACTCACTGTTTTATTCACAAGAAGAATATGAAACTAAAACTCTTCCTTAAAGGATATTAAAAAACAAAAAAAAAACAAAAGGCATCCGTTTACCTGATGCTTCGAGGCCCACATAATAATTTGGACATTAAAAAAAACCAAAAATCCCATATTTCTGTGACATCCAGCTAAAAGTTGCCAACATTTGAACCTAGTTCACCTGAAACTAAGTAATCCCACCAAGTTCAACCCATTCTAACTCCCGACGCATGAAAAAGAAAACAAAAAATAAATAAGGAAACTTGCAAACGAGGACTCCCAAACTATAAAAATGTCACATTAAATTTGAAATAAGAAAGCAAATAAGACTAATCGGGTTGCATAGTTCCTTCACAAACTTAATACTTTAGCCTTCAAACACTTACAAAACAACGGGTTCCCAGGTTCCAATTTTTCTCTCAATATAACTCGTGGAAACTGGCAGTTCATACATACAGTCCCATCCACGTGCTTGAATTAGCTTAGAATTTTCCATATGATTTATGCGATTGCAAAAATTGGGTTCTTCATAAACAATGATTCCTGATACATGGTTCATGAGATTTCCTCTCTACAAAGGAAAATCACAGAGAAGAAGGGGTTTGAGAGGGAGGGAAGGCGTACCTTGCAATGCAATTCTGGTCCTGAAAGGAAGGCAAACGACGCCAAAATAACGAGCATTTCTAGAGAAAGAAGGGTAAGAGACAGTGGACAAGTTGCGGAGAATAGCAGAGACGGCCATGGATTTTGTTGCAGAGGCGGAGACAGAATAGGGGATGGAGGATACCATTAAAGAAGAACCCATTTTCTCCACTCCTGCTACCCGCGCGAATTACGGGGTGCAGGCCAATATATACTTGGAAAAGGTTACTGCAAAATCGTTTCAGCATATAAAGATTTTTTATTTTATTTTTTTTTAAAGTATGCGATAAGACACTTATATTTGGTATAATGATCGAGTAATGATCCTATATATCCCTCTCCCACCCTAGGACGTAAAGTGTACCATTGAGTTAGGCCTTCCCCCCCACGAAGCAAAGCGTACTATTAAGTTAGGTTTTTTATCATAATGAATGTGGAATTTGACTTTTTTATAAAGCTGTATCAAATTTAATGGTGATCTTTTGTGGTCTTACATACGAAAAGATTTTATAAAATCATTTCTCATAATGATCACAATTAATCTTCATGATTAGATGTAAAATTAGATAGTTGTATTTATTATATGAGTAATGATCCTACGAGACCCTCCCACACCCATATGTGTACGACCCCAAAGGATTACCATTAAATTTGCCACATATGTGGCCTTTAAAGGCCTTATGAGTGATTGTAAAATAAAATGATATAGTAGAACATGACTTAGTAGGAGTATGGTCCCTCGTGGACCATACTAAGCAAACGATGGTTTGCTGATACCGATCTGTGCTTAACGATCTAGGCCAGTCGGTTGGAAAAAACCCATGTTACCTGGACATGAAGAACAAACCGATTGAGGTTTTATACGTTAGCCCTTGATAAGGTCGGAGAACATGCCCGAATGAGTGAGCCGAGAGACTGTGTGACCCTTGTGTATGATGATGACCTACTGAGACATGGGCCAGACATCCACCTTTGAGTGAAGCGTATGCATGTGCGAGAGATACCCTTATGTGTCATAGAGCTGTGGTCGCATATGTCGTGGTGACTTGACTCGTCTCTAGGAGAGCACCTGTAATCCACAGACTAGATTACGACCCCTTGATTCATCGACCTGACTTTGGTGACCTGCTAATGAGCTCATTCTTGAACTGTGGGTCATGGGAAATACTGGATCGGTTCGATAAAGCTAGTGTAGTCTATAGTCTACAGTTGAAGGTGGAGTACTCTGTTATTACAGATTGGATTTCTAAAACCATATAGATTATTTTCTA